TTTTTTTTTTTTTTTTTTTTTTTTTTTTTTTCCCTGATAAGGAAAACATCTTAGAGCAAAACAATAATTTTCTTCCCTATTATTTTAACTTTATCTTTTCTACACCGAGAGGCTGAGTTTATCCGGATCCAGTCCTTATCTCCGGCTCTTTTTGCTCAGCAGAGACGTTCAAGACGGACTATGATTTAGGAGAAAATCACATCTTCCAAAAATGTGACGGAACAATATTTTCTATGAGATCTTTCCTTTATTTTCCTCGAATCCCCACTCAAACGAGCGCGCACACACACAGTGGTTCCTTATGTTGTGTGTTTGTGCATGGCTGTGCCTCTCTCTCATAATCAATAGGCTCCATACCTAAAGGGCACAAAATAAAATTACAAAGTCTTCCCTCCTTTCCCTGAGCAGCTCCCAAAGAGGGATGATGTGCAAATCCTGCAGCCTGCTGGAGTGCATCGTGGTGTTCCTCGATGGCACAGAATTGGAGGTAAATATGAAACGCCATCTTTCCTTTTCTATTTTTTTTTCCCTCCTTATCTCACCTTATCTCTGGAGTCGATGGTTGTGCACACGCTTTATGTGTGTGCGTGCACTCCGCTCGCTCCATCAGCAACGTGGGTTAGTTGTTGTAGTTAATGAGAAGACTCCTGTCTGATTTTCTATCTAATTACGCCCTCCTGCTGGGTTTTTGTACAGGATATTCGCTCAGCATGCTGGCAGTTAATAGTCACAGAGAGGATCGTAAAGATTTAATTAGGACTGCATGCGGAAACGTGGAAAAACAACTCAGACTTTTAATTACTAGACTTCTTTAGTTAAAAGTGATACCAGGGGTTACTTTATAAGAGACTTGCGTGTTTTGGTGCAACTTAACTTTCCGTGTCTCCAGCTAGCACACAGGAGCGGGGACGACAGTGTGAGTGAGTGAGGAGGAGGAGTGGAGGTGTGTGTGCAGGGAGGGGAAAGGTGATGAGTCTCCAGATATACTTAGAAAATCTAGAGAGGAAGATTCCCCTCCCTACCCTCCTCCAGTAATCTGACAGCACGGAGCTTCCTGGATATCCACCTTACTCAATAGCTGGGGATATGTCTGAGAGGAAAGCCTGAAAACTCATCTTTTTGTTTTCCTTTAAAGAGTCTAAAGAATCTAGATTTCCCCTTGTATATTTTCTTATCCTATCTTTTACCAGTAAAGCCTCGCTTTTGCCTAGCCGGGGGAAAACAACCAACCAACCAACAAACAAATCAAACCAACCAAACCCCCAAACAACCGGGGTTGCAATGGTGTTTTTCAGAGTCCCTATTAGGTGATGCAAATTTGGTTTCAATAAGTAGATCTTGGCTTCTCCGTTCCCTGTCTGAGGGCTGTAAATCGCAGACTGAAAATTCCTCTCGAAAAGGGCAGCAATAGCAATACAATACGTCCTGTTTACAATAACAGCGCCCTATCGTGTTACAATCACTTAATTCTACCCCTGGACAATGGCTCACACATGGCCTGGATCTGGTGTTTATAAAATAACCACTGTTTCTTTCTGTCACGCACTCTCTTTCTCTGTCTCAATTCTCCCTTGTCAGCCCAACCCATTCTCATGGCACATATTTGATCAGACATGCATAAGATAAAGCCAGGAGAAACATCTTTATCCAACTATATACCTAGATACCGGTTCAACTTTTTGGACTACTGAAAAAGGAAAAAAAAAAAAAAAAATTACACCCTTCCTGGAGATTCTTTCTAGTGTTCGTGGATAATGTGTATGGCGCATAGATAGGAATCTCTATAGCTAGAACGGATTCCTTGAATCTCGAGTAAACCCGTATTAAAAATCAGGAGGGAAACCTGCCCAACTTCGTCTGTCACTAGTCAAGGGACAAGAATAGAAAATGCTGAGCGGTAGGAGTGAGCACTGGGCTGCTTTCCCTCCTGCCTGTGTTAACTTGCAGTTGGACACTTCTTCCTTCACGTGTTTCTCCTTGGGATACCCTCCTCTCCCTCTAACCCTCCTCCCCCAGCCTAAGACCAAACTTTTAGAAATAAAGGGCCTGTTTCACTTCCCCAGACCCTCAGCACCCCAAAACAAGAAGCCCAGGCCTGCTAGCCCGCAGCCTCGGCAGCCCCCGCCCGGCCCCAGGCCGGCCCCGGGCGAGCGGGTCGCGGGTGGCCGCGGGGCTCAGCGCCCGGGGCCATCGGGGGGAGGCACCTTCCGCGAGTGCTGTGTCCTGCCCGCAGAGTGGGTGTTTTATTGGGAAAAAAAAAAAAAAAAA